TGGAGTAAATTAGAGTTTTCTACAACTTAAGGGGCGCAATACCAATATTCCACTTTTGGAATGGCGTTCAAGACATTTTACTTCAAATTTGGAGCTGATTTTCGAGATTAGAGTTAGTCTAAGTCTAGGAGTCAATTTTTGAATTTTTATTTAGTTAAATAAGTCATGTGGACTGAATTAAACTAGAGTGTTTTGATTAGGAGTCTTAGATTCCTTCTAGATATTGTCCTAATTGAGGATAAGTCATTTAGATAAGGTTTCTTAGATTTTAGATAGAGTCAAAGAGATCAAATACTCTTCTACTTTTACTCCTTGTGATATAAGATTAGAGAGTCCTAATTGATCTTCTTTTATTGGTGCTGGCCGAAATTCTAAGCCTATAAATAGGGGGCTTGGCCGAATTTCTTAAGCACCCTTGAGTGGTCATTTTTGTTGTCTCTTTAGAGAGTTTTTCCTGTGAGGAATTTTTGTTAAATGGAGTGTCCATTTTTCGTGTCAAGTATGATTTAACCAAGAGGGTTTTCATCTTGTCTTTGATCTTTTTGATCTTGCAGAAACCGTTCTTTTTCTTGATAGAATTGTTTTAAAACAAAACTTCTTATTTTCATACTACTTCTAGTAGTTCGATTGATGAGCCTTTCTTTTGGCTTGGTGTTCGAATTTCATGATAAGTGTGTTCATGAGTTCCATTGCGGGGTTTGTCCTACTTTTGTTGGATGGGTTGTGCTTTGGCATAAGTATTTTGAGATAGTGTATGTGTTGCATATCTTTGGTTGGTTATGAAGATTACTAATCAATAGTATTCCTTCATAGTTGAGCATTGTTTGCTCCTACCTTTCTTGAGTCTCTTGATTGATGACTGATCGAGTATATTGAATGGTGTCCTTGCTATTCTTAGCGTGGGTTGTTGTTTAATTCGAATCTTTCATGAATAATGTGTTCTTTGCTTTGTTTGAGTTAAGAGATAGAATCACTTAGATAAACGATCGTCTTACTGTGAATTTTCCGCACTCTTTTGAGTTTCACGGGATAGACAAAATTATCTTCGTACTTTTTTGTTGATGGTTGCATTAACGAAATTTGCTTCGTCTACGAGATTGCTATCAGGCAAGCTAAGTCAAATGCTAGATTGTGTACGTCATCATTCATGTTGTTGCTTAAGATCTTGAAGTCTAGTATCCATACAAAATTGTATTAACTACATGTTTTAGCAACATAATGTAGACTAGAATATTAATCAGAGATAAACATTGATTACAACAACATAGAAAGTCATATTTAACAGACTCTTGAAAAAGCAAATTTCAAAAAAAAAAAAAAAATTTGTGCATTAATCAAATGTGTAGACATCAATTTATCTAGCTAGCAAGGCATTCATATATAAACTATGAAATTGAGAAAAGTTGTAATTAATTTTGATTTAAAATTTTGCTACAAATATCAAATTTTCATCTTGTATATTGTACGAGGAAGATAAATTCACATTTAATTATTAGTGAAATATTAGCATACTAGTGATGTCTGGTCGCGCATTGCCCAATATATCTGTAGATCTTAGAAATGTTTGTATCTGGAAAAAAAAATATTTTGTATTTGGCCCGATATATTTTAGAAATATTTGAAGAATTTAAGAAATATTTTATAAGTGTGATGTTTGTATTTGGCATAAAAATAAATTGTATTTGGCCCGGTACGTTTTAGAAATGTTTGAAGATTTTAGAAATATTTTATAAGTGTAACTTCTTAAATATAAATAAACTTGATCAAATATATGTCTTGAAGTAAATGTTAGAAAAAAATATAAAAGTATCCTAAGAAGTTTAAATATTGGTAAGATAATTTATTGATGTTCTCCATTGGTCGTGCCAAATCAGTACTTAGTTTTGGAGATTTATAATAGCTTTGTAGTTAGCTTCCTCCAAAGGGTATATGCTTAATTGTTGGAATTATTTCTTCCAAAAGTTTATAGGTAGTAAAATATCAAAAATATGATTTTGATACTGGTTAATTGTTGAAACTGGTTGATCATAAATATGAGAATGAAAATAATATAAATTTTCATAGGTTTCAAGATATAGCAAAAAAGAACTCACCTCACCATGGGAAATAAAAAAAAAAAGTAAAAGATAGCCCATTAAAATTTGAGAATTTTTATTTTTCACAAATGAACGTAGAAAGATCAATCCTTCCCTCTCCACCTCAAATTTATAAAAGGCTTCCTCATAAATTAGTTAAAAGAAGCGACCTTAATTATTTATATGATGAGGAACTAAAAAAAGTCCAAAAACCAAATCCAAAAAAGTATATTCTTAAACCCCGAACACAAAAAAAACGTGCTTCATTTGTAAATAATAATAATAATAATAATAATAATTGGTCAACTGGGAGTATGAAACAAAATCAAAAGCAATTAAACAAAGAAAAAACACACTCATAACTGGCCATATACGAAAAAAAACCTGAGACTCCATAATTAAAAAAAGAAAACCACTTTAATTAAATGAAACATAAAAAACAAATTTAAAAAACCACACTTTGTAACAAAAACCCAATCAATCAATTCAATCCAAACATAACTAAAATCATACAGAAATTCTAGACTAACTAACCAAATAAGAAATCACATCATACTACCTGACAACGGCTCCGGTAGCTGTAACGGATGGACGCATAAAAATAATAAATAACACTATTCTTGAACGAAAAAAATAAAAAATAATAAAAGCCAAACCATTTATCTGTAAAAATAAAATCATTTAAATTTTAATACCTGTAATGGCACCACCACAACGGCCGAAGCAAGATCAATGAGAATTTTTTTTTTCCTTTGTGTTTATATAGAGAGGTAAAGAGAATATTTTTTGAAGTTGAAATTTTATCCAATTAGGATGTAGTTGATCATCACTAATGAAAAGATTGAACATGCTAATAGGAAAGGAGTATATTTCACCACATATTCTAAATTGATGATTGATGAGAAATTTATTTATTTTTTTAATTGTGGAGAAGGGATTGATTAAGGAGTCGATTGTCGTGGCGATAGGGATGACGATTTGGGTTTTTTATGAACCAGTGATTTTTTTTTTTTTTGACGAAAATAAGAGGTGGAAATAAATTTGGACTACATTTGCCTTTTAAGTTTAGGAGATGTGAAAATAAAAATTTATTTTAAAAATATAATGTGGAAATGCCACATGTCAAATGGTGGTGTTTTCTCTTAAGTGTGTGGTTTTTGTTTCTAATATAGTAAGATATAATATAAGCACAAATTCACCTGCTCCACCATGTCAGCATATACAACATATAGTTTTGGGGAGGGAGGAGTCCATGATTTTACCGCGGGGGTGTTGACTAAAATTTATAGGAGTAAAGAAAAAGATTAATTATTTATGTTGTTTAGAATTAGTTTGTTGCGCTAAAAAAACAAAAAATGCACCAAGTGCATAAAAATATTTTCTCGTAAAAACAAAGTAATATAGAATCTATAACATATTTACTGTATTTCAGTAAATTCAACAAATACATTTGATATTGTTAATTTCTGCATTACGTGATAAAGTTACATATGTAAAATACAACATGATAAAGTAATAGAAATAAAAGTTTGATGATGATGGTAAACAATTTAAATATTTTAAGAATTTGATAGTTAATAATTGGAAGTGTGGAATAAATGTTTTGTATCCTTTTGTTTTTTGTAAGGGGGGCAAACTAAAAATAGATAACACGCAAAAAAAAAATCACATACTGTATAAACACACGTACAACAAATAAGAATAAACAATCTAAAAGGAGTATTTTTAATGTACGGGTCAAAAGATTCTTGGCCAAATATATGACACGAATTAGTGAATTTCACACTAATCAAATGCAAGCACAGTTTACACTACACCTTAGATTTGTTTAATTTACTAAAATTTAATTTTGCCCCAAATTAAAAATGGGATGAGCATTTTAACGGATTCACAGGAATATCTTTTCAATGGGCTATAAGCCTTTAACTAATTTGTTTTTATACGTTTTATGAATTACTCCCTCCGTTCCAAAATAAGTGTCATTATAGAGTTTGCACACTGTTTAAAAAAATATTAAATATGGTAACTAAATTACTAGAATATCCTCAACCAACCCCATTAAAATAAATGCTCACCAATAATATTATTTCTTTTGAGGGTATGTTTGGAAATTTTTGATAAAAAATGCATTAGAATCCGAAAACGACACTTATTTTAGAATTTCTCCATTTTGCTAAAACGACACTTATTTTGGAATGGAAGGAGTATAAAATTTGGCACATTATCAGAAAAGTCATATTGATGGAATTCTGGAATAGTTAACTAGATCTAGGAACATAATTATAAAATTCAATGTAAATTGTTGCTCATATTTCCATTGCTTCTTAATAAGTTGCTCAAATTTCCATTGCAAGTCAAATGACGCAAGGAATTAAGGTCGAATCAAGCTTCAGCCAAACACATTTAGTAACAATTTTTCGCTCTCGCCTAAGAAATTTGAATGCATAGAGATAAAGTACAAATGTGAAGAACTTCCCTAACAACAAATTATGGACATAAATGTTTAGGACCAATTTCTTCAAAGGTTAATGCTTGGGATGTAAAAGTGAATTGGACTAAATATATGGGACCAATATGAGGATTTACTCTTTTACTTAATATGTAGACAAGGCCAAGAATTTGGTAAGAAGAACCCTGTGCTGCAAGAAATGGTTAAGAAGCAAAATAAGAAAGTGACATTGATTAACTTGAGGAATGGATTAATTGTTCTTCCACAAAAACAAAACAGATCGGATACGTCCAACCACATCGAATTTAAATCCAAAACATTCTTCAAGGGCTAATGATGATCATCATCAGATAAATGTTTAAAAAGACTGAAAGAACATAAAACATAAAAATACAGTTGCAAGGGGTACCCCAAGGCAGAAACTAACAAAATGCATCAAGAATCAAAGCACATATATCTTCTCGACTCCGGAAACCCTAAAAACCGTACGGCCTGGTTCCAAGCACCATCATAGGCAGCGACTTAACAACATTAGCCCAAGCTGCCTCCGCTGTTTTGACCACTAAAGTTGACTGCTTGAAGGATGATTTTTCAGATACAAGGGTATCACGCAAATTATTGAGCTCTTGGAGGATTTGCTGAAATCTCAGACTTTTAGATTGAGAAAAACCCTCAGGCTGGTCAATTTGATCGTCAGAATAAAATGAACATTTCTTGTTCGCCGCTAGAGCATCATGATATTGTTTCTCTAGATCAGTAGCCATCCCTAAAAGAAACTTGGCCCTCATTTGAAGATTAACATATTCGGCCACCTTAGCCTTACAACGCGAATAATGTGCACAAGTTTGAGCATGTTGCTCACGAAAAGTCCTTAGAGTATCCCTTAATTGATTGCTGATTTTACCCAAAAGGAGAGCAGAAATTATTCTGGATATTTCACCTGATCGAGCGCCGTACACCTCATCCACGCCAATGAATCTACAAGTAGGGGCCAACTTCATTGCCTTTCTGAAAGACATCATTGTATGATGTTGATTGCAGGCCCGCATGGGTACTGCTGAACCATCTAAAAATAATCTCATTTCCCTTAACATGTTTAGGCTGAATCTGATATCCTCGCGAGTAATGAGCATTTCTGAAGAGGTTCCGGCCTCAACTTCGACGTCAGTGAACCTAGAAGTTGATGCCTGACCAAATATTTTTTTCAAAAGAAAGTCAGAGAAACAAGGTTAAATGCAAGGTTAAATGCAACATTATCTCTACAAGTAGTGCAACTTGCTAAATAAAGTTTGGTCGTTCTAAAGGCTTACCAAAACTGCATTTTTTCCATTGGTATAAGGCTTAGGCTCAACTTTTGTGCCGTCATCTAGCCTCATTTTCTTGCCTTTTGCACTTGATATTTCTTCCTCTTCATCTCTCCCTAATAAAAAAAAAATAATCAACATTATTAATAGGGGACATTAAAAAAAAACCCCCAATACAGTTCTATTCTGTAAAAAGAGAGACAATTTATATATGAGGATGATGAAGACCAAGAATATTATGACCTTGATAATTGATCTTCTTTGAAGACCTTTTCGCAGCAATAGTAGCCCTAGCTTCCATGCTCGACCTATCTTCCTTTTCGGATCCATTGCAATCGAAAATCACAACGTCAAACACCATGTTTCCATGATGCCTGAAAGCTACGAAATCTCCAATACCCAAAAGGTTGTCCCTTGCAAATTCATCCCAGCCATCTCTAAAGTATTGGCCTTGGATTTTCACAATCCACTCCTTCCCATCCTTTCTCAACACAGCATTGTTGAGCTCCAAGCACTCTAAGAACAAATCAGGAATTTTCTGCACAAAACAACAACATTTCTACCCTGATGAGATTTCTATGATTAGTACTATCTTTAACATCATTAGTACTCTAAACAAAGAAGGGTTGATTTGTATCAGCCATCATCTCTATATTACAGATTAACTTTTTCGTTACAAGAAAAACAAAATGACCTACATCTTAAAGAATCATATTATAAAAATGGCATAGAGATGGAGAGATGTGATCGACTTACAATGCCTTCAGTGAAGCCAAGAGAAACATGCTTCAAGAATTGAGTTGCTTTCGTTGACACTTCCATGGCAGCCCTGTTATTTATTCCCTTCAAATAGGATTCCAGTATTATGATTTCCCAGAATTATTCAGTTCTTAAGGGGGGGTAATATAGTGGTTTGAGGCAGGCATTGATTAAATATAGTCCATTAGGCTTCTTGTCAACTTTGGAACAAGTAGTGATTTAATTAGCATTGGCAGAATCCGAAGCATCTGAATTAGCTGTACTCTTGACTTTCATTTTTGTTTACTTTTTTTTAATACGCAATTTATTCAAACTCATATTGGTCCAACTACTTATAAATATTTATACTCATAGTATTCTTTACGATTAGACTGATACTCTAAAAGATGTGACTCGTCAGTCGTCACTTTGTCATCCTTAACCATCTATAGTTAATTAAGGCTACTTCAACTACATTAATAAACTAAAACAAGGATAAATATCATTAAAATACTTCTTGTTTAACTAAATAAGTACCAAAAATATTAAATTTTTTAAGGTAAATGAGATTGCTTTTAGGTGGTTTAGTAATGGGAAATGAGAGCAATTAGGAATGGGAAAACTAATGAAGAAGTCTCATGCTCTTTGTATACCATCTCCAGCTCAAAGTCATGTTAATGCCATGTTAAAGTTTGCCATTTCTCCACTGCAAATCAAAGGATTTCTTATCACTTTCGTTCATATTGAGTATAAAATATGATTATAATCTCAAATAAATCAAGAGTGGCTAGTCCAGCAGGATTGATTAACTCGAAATGTACTACTTTGAATTTAATTAGGCGATTCTCGCCTCATTCTTTGTAACAAAAACTTAACTATATTTATACTTAAATCAAATATGAATAAAACATCACCAAAAAAAAAAAAAAAAAACTCAAATATGAACATGAAGAAACAAAGTGTCTTGTATACGTATATATTCTCAAATTTATACAACTCTTTTTTTGTTTTTTAGGACGGAAACAATACCTTAAACTAGTACTCTCTCCATTCCAAAATAAGTGTCATTCTAGAGTTTGTACACAATTTTAGAAACACTTAAATAAGGTAGTTCAATTACTAGAATATCCTCAACCAACCACATTAAAATCAATGCTCACCAATAAAATTATTTCTTTTGAGGGTATGTTTGGAAATTTTTAACAAAAAATGCTTTGGAATCCGAAAATAACACTTATTTTGGAATTTCTCCATTTTGCTAAAATGACACTTATTTTGGAATGGAGGGAGTAATTAATTACTAGTAACAAATTCTACCAATCTCAACTTCTAATAGGAAGAAACAACCTTAGCTTCAATTGCTTCGGCCTCACATGACACTTATTTTGCTAAAATGACACTTATTTTGAAATTGAGGAAGTAATTAATTACTAGTAACAAAGTATACCAATCTCAGCTTCTAATAGGAAGTAATAACCTTAGCTTCAATTGCTTCGGCCTCACATGTGATGTATCGAATTCGAATCCCTTGCACCGCGAAGGTGGGAATGGTAACGGGGATGATGGAGTGGTTCCTAATTAAATTCTCATCCTTTTTGTCATGACAATCACATTAATACAAAAGACGACCTTGACAAACACCAAATTTGTAATAGCCCTTGAGGAATCATCCACATTTTCCTTGTCCTGCCGGTTAGAATTTTCATTATCCGAACCTTATTATTAAAAGGATTATAAGCTAGGATTTCAGAAGATTTCATCTCATATTACTAACCGATAAATAGTACTCTCTCCATTTATTATAAATCATTTCGATTTATCTTAAATTTCACTCAACATGTTTTGCTTTTAAACACCTCCAAAGGAAAAAAAAAACATAAAAGAAAAGACAAGTAATTCTTGTAAAGGAAAAAAACACTTCACATTTGTTTAAGGCACATACATATTCTCATAAGCCCTCATCACGTCATATTCTCCGGAGGACATATATGGGATCATCGACGCCAAGAATCCTTCAAACAATCAGCAAAATTACACTAACGATGTATACATTATTCGTTAATTTGAGCATATTATTCAGTGAATGAGACTAAATGATGGAGGTGGTTATCAGAATTCTAGAAAGCAAGAAAACAATAAAGTTGAAAAACAGAGCAAAAGTTAAAATAACAAGGATAAACTAATTGAGAGAAAACTCTTCTTGGCCATTTCCTTTGTAACTCCTCAATATATAGCCCCCTTAAAAGTGAAACTGATAACTCCGTTTACAATTAACGGTATCCCTTTAACAGAATATTCGGATATCTATAGCTATTAGTAATTATACTAATATCTAATAGTATCCTTTAGCTTAGCTGGTTCCTTTCTTGATCTCACAGGCCTTGGACCAGCAACATTTGCCCCTTCCTGGGACCCCACCTTGCCCTCAAGGTTGAATTGAGGAAAATCGCGCTTGAAATCAGAAACAGGCTCCCACGTGGCATCGGAGTCCGGTTGCTGGTGCCACTTGACCAGCACCTGAGGGACAAGATGGCCCTGCTAGAGAACTCGGCGGCTACCAAGGATCTTTTCTGGCAGAAGGAGTGGGTGATCCTCCAAAAACTCCCAAGGTAAGGGAATGGTGGATAGTGCAGTCCTTTGGATAGCTTTTTTTAACAAAGAGACATGAAAAACATCATGAATCTGCGCAGTTGGGGGAAGTTTCAGGTGATACGCCACCAGACCAATGCGTTCAGTGATGGGAAAAGGGCCGTAGAAGCGCTTGGATAGTTTCTGTGATTGGCGGTGGGCAAGCAAAGATTGGGGGTAGGGTTGCAGTTTCAACCAAACAGCGTCTCCAACCTGAAAGTTAACATCAGTTCGCCTTGCATTGGCTTGATTGCGCATACGATTCTGGGCGCGCAGTAGATTGGCCTTAAGTTTAGAAAGGAGAGTGGTGCGGTCAGTAAGCAATGCATCAACTGAGGCGACGGCAGCTGAGCCTTCAGTGTAATCCAACAATGAAGGAGGGGGGCGCCCGAATACCACTTCCAATGGTGTCATTTGTCTTGCCGAGTGCCAAGATGTGTTATAGTACCATTCTGCCCATGGCAAGTAAGAGAACCATTGTTTAGGTTGATCGGCAACAAAACAACGCAAATAGTCTTCAAGGCAGCGGTTAACGACCTCAGATTGACCGTCGGTCAGCGGGTGATACGCACTACTTGTGGCCAAAGTTGTGCCCTGCAAACGAAACAACTCATGCCAGAAATGACTCATAAATATCGGGTCACGGTCAGATACGATGACCGAAGGGAAACCGTGTAATTTGGCCACTTTCTTCACAAAACTATCAGCAACCATGACAGCAGTAAACTGAGAGGGTAAAGCCGCCAAATGAGCATGCTTGGACAATCTATCAACAACAACCAAGATAATAGTTTTACCCTTGACTGCGGGTAAGTGAGTAATAAAGTCCATTGCCACAGCATCCCATATCTTTCCTGGAATGGGCAGCCGTTAAAGGAGACCTTGAGGCTTTGTGTTGAATGGTTTCGCTGTCTGACAAACTGTGCAATGAGAGACATACTCCTGGATGGAAGAACGCATTTTCGGCCAATAAAAAACTGTAGTAATGCGAGCCAGCATGCGTTGAACTCCAGCATGGCCACCCACCGGGGAATTGAGTAATTCGGCCAATATTAAAGGTTGAAAACCTGATTCAATTAGGATAACAGCTCTACCCTTGAAGAAAAGCAGATCATCGCGAACCAAATGATGAGGAAACTTGGTTGGTTCGGAGTTGACATCTGCAAGTAGGTGAGAAGCAGCAGGGTTGTGGACAAAAAAATCCTTGAGCCCTTTCCAGATGGCCAACAGGGGTTGGGAAGAAGCTGTTAGCGAGGACAAGGTCGCATGGCTTTGGCAAGACAACGCATCTGCTGGACCGTTTTCTTTCCCGGGTTTGTACACAATGTCAAAATCAAACCCCAGCAATTTTGTGAGCCATTTTTGTTGCTCCGGGGTTTGGATAGTTTGGTGGAGTGTAGAACGCAAGCTTTGGTGATCTGTTTGAATAATAAAATGCCGACCCAGGAGATATTGCCTCCATTTTTGACAGCTTCAGTAATGACAAACATCTCTCGAACATAGGTAGATGAAGCCTGCATGCGAGGAGACATCTGTTTACTAAAGAAAGCCAATGGATGCCCCTGTTGCAGGAGGACCGCCCCAATTCCAGTACCCGATGCATCAGTTTGAATCACGAAGGGTAAAGAGAAATTCGGTATAGCAAGAACCGGTGGCGACAACATTGCCTGCTTCAACATGTCAAAGGTTGTAGTAGCATCATTGGACCAAATAAAGGCATGTTTCCTCAACAGCTGAGTCAGAGGTGTGGTGATGGAAGCATAATTCTTGATGAAACGGCGATAGTATCCTGTTAGACCCAGGAATCCACGCAGCTGTTTGACTGTGGTAGGCAAAGGCCACTGCTGGATGGCCGAAAGTTTATCCGGTTCAGCCGAAACTCCCCCTGACTTAATGACATGTACCAAATAAGTAACCTGGGGACACCCAAATTCACACTTGGTGAGTTTCGCAATAAGCGAGTGCTGTGATAACAGAGAGAACACAGGTTGGAGATGTTGAATATGACTATCCCATGAATTACTGTAAACAAGTATATCGTCGAAAAAGACTATGACAAATCAGCGGACTACAGATTTGAAGACCGAGTTCATAAGCGCCTGAAATGTGGAAGGGGCATTTGATAACCCAAAGGGCATGACCAAAAATTCGTAGTGGCCCTCATGAGTACGGAAAGCCGTTTTCTCAATGTCTGCGGGGTAGAGGCGAATCTGATGGTATCCTGCCAGGAGGTATATTTTGGAAAATACGCGAGCTCCAAACAGCTCATCAAGAAGTTCATCAACTGTGGGTATGGGAAAACGGTCTTTGATGGTAACGGCGTTTAAGGCTCGATAATCTGGACACAACCGCCACGATCCGTCCTTTTTCTTGACAAGCAACACTGGGGCTGAGTAAGGGCTGGAACTCGGTTGAATAATACCAGTCGAGAGCATATCCCCGACCAATTTTTTCAT